ACACACACACACACACACACACACACACACACACACACACACACACAGAGGCCATAGACAGAAACACAAAGCTACACAAAGCTGTGTGTGCGTTTTCACTCAGACACGTGTTCACCCAGAGAACACCAGAAGTACACACCGTCTGACTCTTTCTGCATTTCCACAAGAACAAAGTGGAAATGACCTATTTCACAGATTTGATTTTACTGCTTTTCCTTTTTGCCTCGTTGCCTCATATTCAAGCGGCTCCCTCTGTTGTTCCTTCGGTCTTCTTCAGAAACCCAGCCCCCCCACCGTACTCCTGCTTCCTGTGACAGTCCTTTCCATTAGATACGGGCTCATCCCTGAGCCGATGGTGGAGGGTGATGTCATGATTCTTGGGGCAGATTATGAAAACAAGCTTGAAAACACAAATATTATTTACAGTTTAATCCACCTAGATAATTGTTTCTATTTTAACAATTTCCACTGTGGGCAACAAAAAATACCCCAAATATGAGTGACAGTGTTGATGGCATGTTATCAGCCTGTAAAGGAAAACTACTCGCGTGTCCTCAAACGTTGGCTCCTCGAGCAACGCTCCATTTCATTTAGTCACAGAGTTCCACCGCCTCGCAACTTCAAACCAATTGCCTCTTGACATGGCATTGCAAATTAAATCACAAAGAGATGATGAAGGACAAGTGAGTTGCCAGGCAGTAATCTCATCACAGCTGTCATAATTGCTCTGTAAATGACTAAATTGCGCCCTGAAAGCACAAGGACGACCGCTTCCTTATCGGAGGCCAATTAAATGAGGGGAAGAAAAAAAAAGAGGAGGTGACACTTAATTTCATTTTTCAGGTACTTTGGTCCGAGGAGGTGAAAATATTACAAGTTTACTGCAAACAAAGTCAGCGGTACTACATGGTGTGACATTTGGCTTGTATGGGGAAACTGGTGAATAACACAGAGGAGCCAAAAAGACATAAGGAGAGTGTTGTCTGAACAACAGGAGGACTGCAGACTGGACCGCTTCCAGTGGTGATGAGTGAGCGTGTCTCTGCCATCTCAAACCCTATCGGCTCCCCAAACCTCCTCTCAGTAGTGTTGCTGCCTCAGTGAGCGTTAGTTAGAGACACAATTGTGTAACTCCTTAACTCCTACATGAACCCAGCAGAGAGCTTGTAGTTTCCTGCCTCCCTAAAAGAACATGAAAAATACATCAAAATCACCCACCAAATGTCAAGAAAAATACTTCATATCTTTTCCTGGCACGGGGCTTCGGCGCATGAGAGCTTGATGTTTGGCCCTAAAGGTGATCGTGTGTCTCACACACTCCTTCCAGCCTCCGTACAACACTCACCACTGGCAAGGTTGCAGCCCGAGCCCTCTGACACAGCCGGGGAACAGCCCTGCATTCTGGGAGATTTATTTAAGCACAGCCGGCCGTGCAGCAAGAAGGGAGGAGACTAAACTATTAACAGGGGGTGGCAAGGGCAACTCAGGGCATTCAGTGAGCCGCGTGATAGCCTTTCAAAGAACCAGTTCTATGCCTTGCTCAAGGACTCTGCGACAGGGTAATCACATCTTATTCTCCAAAAAGGTTCAAATCCTGACCAGGTTTGAGCAGTACGGCTTCTGAAGAGTTACACGATCACTTACAGTAGGGACGGGCGATCGTTTCTATTTTCATATCGCCCAATAACAACATCTCTATTCAAGTGATGACTCCTCCTCGTCTCTGGAATCGTCTCGGCCTTCTGTCCAAATGTCAACACTTATTGAAAAAAGACGGATGTAATCATTTCCAAAATACACAACATGCTTTTATCTCACGACATATTCTGTTTGAATCCATATTTGTTGGCGTTTAGCATTTCAAAAACATTTTCACTGCAGTCAAAAAAAAGGTCTCCCACTTTCAGCAGCAAGGCTGGTATTTGTAGTAACAGGGCGGTCCAGCAGCAATCTAACAGCACCATAACTTAGATAAATAAGATAACGGCTAAAACACGTCATATTTCCCCCTCTTTTTTACTGGGATAGCGGCATAACGTTGGACGACAGAAAGCTTAGAATGTAATAAAAATGATACTCGATAGTCGACAGCCCTGTCCACAGCACTTAGGGCTCTTTGGAGCGCGGGACGCTGGTGAGCCGGCGTATGGAGGATGGAAAAGAGACGGAAAACTGGCTTGTAAATAAAGATTGAAACTCCACCCGTCATGCTGATTATCGGGGCTCAGCAGGCGGACATGCTGCTCCACTACAAACATCTCTAAATGTTTCTAAAGATCATTTCTATAAGACCTCAGTCCTGATCGCAAACAAATACTTTGATATCGGCGTTGGGAAAAACCAATCATCGAGCAACCCTTCGATCGCCGATCGGCTTCAGCCTAACTTTGAGCTCCGAGTACAATGAATGCTGACGTTGGTGCCATCAAAAAGCCAAGCCGCTAAGAGATAAGAGCCTTCACAGAATGAATCACTGACATGTGTAAAGAGGTCTAAGCACGGCTGTGAGTGCACCCCCCCCCCCGACTTAAAAGACTGGTAATTAAAACGAAATAAGCGATAATCTCATCAAAGTTAGCAGCTGTTTGATCATCTTTTTCACTCACTGACACATGCACATGTCAGCCGTAAAGCCACCGTGACTATCGGCGCTCTAAGCTCCAGTGATGGGCGCTTTAGTGCATCCAACTCGGGTGAGAAGGTGTTTGAAGTCTGCGTGAGCGGCAGGCATGAAACCCTGGGAGACATTATCGCATATCACTAGCATCATCCTTATGGTACTCTGCCTCACTGCTCTGGACCGCTCTGCCTCCTCAGCGCTTTTTGTTTGGAGTTACCGTCCTCAGTCAGAGGCTGCAGTTTGGAAGTGAGGCGGCGCTACGGCGAGGACAGGAAGGGGAAGACGGATAGCAGAGCAGCCTCAGCGCTAACGGTTAAAGTCATAGATAGCGAGTCCAATGTCAAAGCAGCGTCTCTGGAGCTGAGAGATGGGAGGAGCTGCTGGTTACTGAAGTGTGTTCTACTCTACCCTATCTGAAGGTTTCCTGTTATGACACCCTCGATGTTCTTGGACAAAAACATACTCCGTACTCTATAGTTCAACTTAGTTTCACTTTGGTGCGGTGAGTGTCTCTTATCACTACCATGAGACCACAAAGAAGAACGTCCTCATACCCATGCAGAGGGAAGCGGGTCCTTTAAGGGGCCTTTCATACATCAGCTGTTTGGATACAACGAACTCGGGCCCGGTTAGCACAGTTCCAAACAACCAAACCAAGACCGCTTAAAAAGGTGGGTCCTGGAGCTCTTCTAAGTGGACTCTGGTCTGGTTCGTTTGTGGTGTGAAAGCAAACAAACCCACCACAGCATTCTTATGATAGCAGATGTGTGATTTTAGCACAAATTCAAAGATAAATCCATCTGTTGATCATGAAGTCTGTTCAGGAAGAGATCCTATTGATCTGTATTTCAGGCCATGTGGGCGTCCTCCTGATTAACGGTCAAGAGCCGTTAGAACTGCTGTGCTCGACTCTGTGTACTTTGTCAATTTATTAAGTCCATTAAAAAGTATTTGACAGCGATCCCACAGCAATAAGCACCGAATCATTAGCCTCATGCGTTCTCCAACGTTTGGGGGAGCGACTTTAGTACAATCCTGTCTCTACCGGTTAGTCATTATTAGATATATTATATTATAATACGAACAATCCTAACAATGCTTATGATCAGATATTTCTTTGGAAGCTTGAAAACACTGATTTGAATAGAATTTGCAGGATGATTATAGCCCAAAACAGGCCAATCAATGAGTTCCTATCAGTCTATACACCTTCATGTTTACTTCTATCGGTTCAGTGTGAACCGGACCAGAACGGATGATTTTACTCCCTCGGTTCGGACCAACTAGAGGTTTGAAAGCACCCGAAGTTCATTTTGATGAT